CAATGAACCACTTGCCTCGTGAATAACAGTTGGAATTCATAGCAGACGTTATGCGACAGATCTTCATTTTCTTGCGTTGGTACTGATTAACAACAACATTGCTTCTCAGAGATCTTGAAGCTAAAGGAGGGGGTGATGTTAGGAACATAGTCCTTAGAATCTTCTAAAGACAAGTTTCTAGAACCTTCTAGAAGCAAGTCTCTGGAACCTTCTAGAAGCTTCGTAGTTGGTAGAAGATGTTAAGGACATAGTCCTTAGAACCTCTAGAGACAAGTTTCTAGAATCTTTTAGAAGCAAGTCTCTGGAACCTTCTAGAAGCTTCTTAGTTGGTAGAAGTTGTTTGAGAAGCTTCATAAATAGGAGTATATATTGGAATCGAGGCTGAAGAGTTCTTCAGTCTCGACAACACATCTGTTGGAGCTCTAGCTCACCTCTCTGGTGTTGTTCTTGTATTCATCTGATTAATCTAGTTCTTGCCAGTTCTTCTTGAACTTCCTGTTAGATCTCGAGTCTGTATTTCTGTGTCCGTGACACTACCATAGAACATTCTTGAAAGAGTTTAAGGCTGTCATTTAGATAGGGCCTACTATCTAAGAATATTTTAGAAAATCTAAGGTAGTACAATAAAGTATAAATAGGATTGGCCAAGACCTTTTGTCCTTTTTGGTCAAGTATGGTTTTGGATTCTTTTCCTTAATATAATTGGGTTTTGTATCTTCTTTTTTGTTTTGTTTTGTTTTAATTTAATTTTGATTACCAATTTAGTCTTTTGTGTCTCATTTTGTTAGTTTTGTTCAATTTTATTCTAGTCTAGTTTGTCCTACTTTGTGATAAGGTTTTATATTGCTTTAGATTTGAAGGGTCTTAGACACTTGAGATAAACCGATCTTATTTTAGTTGTAAAGCTTTATTAGAGAGTTTTAGATTTGTTCTTGTATCTTGTGAATATTATAAGCTATATCATTGCATGTGCTTTTCAATATTTTGTTCAATATATAGCACAACTATAAGTTTTGCATTAGCAAGAAATTAAACAAATATATTATTATTGACAATAGAAAAAACTTCTTTTTAGAAATATTTTATTAACTTACAAAGATATATTAGGCCTTATTTTAGTAGAATACTATGTGTCATTTTTAAAGAAGAATATTATATAATATCATGAGAAATGAATAGATCAAAGATGATTTTAATCTTGCCTCTATATATATTGACTATGAAGAAAATATAGTGGAAGCTAATTATAGATAGCAAGGCTTGTGATCCAATAATTTAATTACAGTTTATTTCCAATATTACTTTGTCAAAGTAAGAAGTATATGGCACAAGTTTTAGTAGATACATAGCATATCTATAAAGGTCTACACATTTAAGTTACTACAAAGATACTTCCTTGAAGCTGTTAAAAACTATATTATCTTTTTAATATAGTACTACCTACTTTTTCTTATTTAAATTTACTCCTATTTACTTCAATAATCTTGGATATTTATTACATGATGTTTATGATTTTTTTAAGTTACTATTAATAATATTTAATTTATAATTATAAATTTCTTTATTTTCTTGTAATAACTTAATTTCTATGCTTAAAAAAAATTGTAAGATTTTTTGTATGGAAAAAAATATTAATTAAAATAATTTTTAAATTTTTATTTTGATTGCTTAAATAGCCATATAATAATTATAGTAATAAAAAGTGATCAAGAAATATATCTATTAAGATATAATTATGCTAATATTCATAAAAGAATTATTAAATATATATTTTATTTAAATTAATATATAAATACATAATATGTATATATATATATATATATATATATAGATTTTGGTATGTGCAAATTCAGGTAATTATATTTTTATTTGTTCAAAAGAACGATAAATGTTTTGGAATAACAAGAACACAAATTTCAGATAAGTGCTTTTATTTCAGATAAAATTTAATATTAATTTATAAACTAAATAAGCATAATTTTAAAAAATTATTCTTAAAGTTTATATGTTAATTTATAAAATTTTATATGAAAATAATCAGATTTAAATATATTATAAATTTGATATTAACCTTATAAGACATTATTTTGAAATCAAATTTTTTTTCTATATTAAAATAATAATCATCATTAATTAATAATAACATATTAATATTATAAAAAAATTTAAATAAAATCTAATACTAAAATTAAATTTATTGTATTTCAAAGAATTATAGTACATAAAATTATTGTATTTCTTAGAATTTTTTTTTGCATGAATACATATATATATACATACACACAAATGAATTTACAAAATTAATAGATCTAAACTATATTGAACTTTGTGCATTTTCTTAATACATCTACAGTAAAAAGACAAAAATATAAATGATAATTATTATTTTAAAAGTTAAAAAAAAATTATATACAAGTATTTGTAGATAGATCAGCAAAAAATAAAAGTAAAAAACAGAAGGAAAAGTCATGCATAGAAAATTTCAATAAAAATGTATAACAACGAATTAATAAAGAAATATTTGGATAATTCAAAATAATGATATTATATATATATATATATATATATATATATATATATATATATATATATATATATATATATATATATATTTCAAAATTTTCTCTTTTAATTGATATGTTTGTTGTGATTAAATTTAATTTTTTTAAAATAATCATAAATACAAAAAAATCTTATTATACTTATATTATTATAATTTTTATTCTCATATATATATATATATATATAATTTTAGATACATAGATATATAGATATATAAATAAATAAATTATAATTTTTTAGATGAATATAAATTTTATTTTTGTAGTTTCATTATACAAGTAAAAAGTAACTATTATTATAAAATATTAATTTATTAAAACACTTTTTAGATTGAATTTTTTATACTATTATGATACAAATTTATATTAATATTAAAAATCAAAATCATAATATTACAAACCTATATAAAAATAATAGATTTAAATTACATGACATATTAAAAAAAATCATGTATCTAAATATATTGAATTTTTTTCATAATTTTAAAGATATTAATAAGCTTCAAAGATTATGTTATATAACACTATGGAAATTTAAAAAATATATATGGTTAGAAATATAAGAATAAATATTTGAGTAAAACAAAATATTTGAAAAAAAATTGAACTTTAATTTTTACAAAGATGTACAAATTATGATACATGAAATTTTACAAAAGATAAAACAATAATAATAATAATAATAATAATCCAATAAATTACAATTATTATGATTTTTATATAAATAACATAGACTAATAATTTTTACATATATTTTAGATTAAATTATCATTTACGTTGTTTAAATTTGAAGCTTTTTTTAATTTCATAAAATTTTGATTATTTATTTATTATAAAAGAATTGAAAACATTCAAATCAAGTCTTGCATATAAGAAATATATATATATATATATATATATATATATATATATATATATTATCATTAAAATTATTTTAAGATCTACTTTATTGTCTTCGTTCTTAAAAGATCTACAGCAATTATAGATAAATATTAAATTAAAAAATAGAATAGTTTTTTAATTTTCTCATTATTATTCACGATATTTGATAAAAAGACAAAATTTCAAAAAAATCATCCAATTTTAAAGCAACATGTAAAAGCAAGTAGAATTGTCACACATCTATCTGGTTTTTGGATGTTGGTATCAGTGGTTCACAACCCTAAAAGTTAGCACTAAGATTCTATTGAGCCCACAAATAATCAAATCAAAGTACACCCCTATGGTTGGCCTCCTCTGAGTGCGCTTTCCATTTTCTAACGCACGGAGCAATATTCTCATTATATATTGCAAAATGTCAATTACGTTTTTCAGAACTAACTTAGATTCAATTTGAAACTCGTAGTGCAATTCAACATTCAATTTAATATTCATGACATCTAGTGATGCAGAGTATTTCAGCATTGAAGTTATCATGTATCTTCTCTCCAATTATCAGACTTGTTGACACACATTGATGGAGATTGTTCATGACTGTTGGCTAACAAAGATTTTTAATTAGTTTAGGATAGTGAAAAAGAATACTTTATGATCTAGTTAACAATCAACGACGATAGTGCAGGGCAAAAATGAATGTGTTGTTAACTGGACTGGATGATTTTCGGCTTCGACGGTTGTTTTCAATACAACTTCCGCAACAGGTGCAGAAAACAGGCACAATAATTCAGTCTAAAGATGCAATGAAATTGCGATGGCAGGGTTCATGGGGGCGGTTGAGGTACCGGCAAGAGTGTTTGGCAATTATAGGTACAGAATAATGCTTCTGCAAATCAGGAGATTGCATGGATGCTATCAGCCAAAATGTAGAGTTTGGCAGAAGACATGATATTAGTTGCAAACTAAGATATGGGGTAAGATTCAATGAGATGGACGCTTCATTATCAGATTCCTTCATCTTCCACGTATATTGACAAATCATGTCACATCTTCGTTACTGAGTTACATCAAACGCAGTGGTGGATAAGGATTTCGAATCCTTTTTCTTCAGATGGGCTACTGATAACTTTGTAACTCACTGTCAGAAACAGAGTTCTTTGAATTAAGAAATAGAGGTATTGATTATTGACAATGAAACAAAGTTCCACCAATATGATTACGACGCTCATTGTCTCCTCTTAACTTGCTCGGTACATGAAAGGGCGGTCACAGTAATGTTGAAGGGCGTAGAAGAGAAATCTGTAGTGAAAGTTGCAACAATTATGAAGCTGCGCATTGATAGTCATTCTTTGTGTGTCAGCCACGAACTACATGAACAAACTGAACCATACTTGAAGTTTCTCTGGACGCAATTTCTGCGTGCAACTGATCAGAAGCAAGGATCACGCAAGTAAGTGTCCGGGTGCTAAGGATGGTTCCTATCATTGCGAGCATGATATAGCAGTCTGAAACATCAAGAGACATTATTATTAACAACATCAGCGTTGCTAAGGACGCAGTATGGCAATCGAAAAGGGAAAGTAGATCAGTAAGGTACTGACATGTATTTCTCCTCAGTGGAGGCTGTACATCAGATCGGTAGCGATCTACCAAATGGGAATGGAAACTGAATAATCTAACAAGCTCCGTGTTGCCTTAATCGTCTATGGTACAACGCATACTTCCCACTTCCGACATCTGGGCAATCATTCACGTCACATATATTTGCATACAAGCCACTTCTCACATTTGTACTTGATCTACTTATCCTTTCCTCTACGAGGAATTGGCAAAGTGACGGTGCAACTGCCACTTCCCGCACACTCATCCTGCTCACTAACATGATCACCAAGGCCAAGGTTGGAAGCAGACAACCTCCACACAAAGGTCATTTCTCAAGCATGTTTCCTCCTTAAAGACGGTACTGATGAGAGACTAAACGTAGATCCAGTTGCGATGGAGTGACCTGCTCAGTATTGAGAAGTAGAATTAGTGTGCTATGGTTTACTGATCGTCTCAGTTAGAAGAGGTTGCTTTCCTCACACCTATCAGAACAGTTGCAACATTAAGTAAATCCTTGCACAGCGAAACTGATAACTGTGTGCAGCAAAACATATGCTGCACCGACACATGCTCAATTTCACTGTTAGCATTGGTGCTATCGCTTTTCAAAATTCAGAATGGCATGTAACAATCTGACTACTCTCTAAATTTCTATTAGAGCTGAATCATTCAGGCACCTGCTGTTCAGTGCTATGATAATTTCTAGACCGTGGGAAACAGACGCACGTTGTCTTGCTGAACAAGTCACCGTCGATGCTCTGAATGTTACTGAGCGGAGAGAAGTCATGCCCGAGTCGAAACTTGGAGACATGCTGACAAAGCATCAGATCTTGGCATATACGAATTGCACGATCTCTCCGCTTAGCATCGTCTCATGAAATGTGAATCAGCATAAAACATAGGCGGGCGAAATGGAGCCCGATCCGGAGCCGCGAATTAAACAGAGGCCTAACATATACAACCCATTCCGTACTGCTGAGTCCCAAGTTGGAGTTTTTATACTAGCCACAAACTGACCGTCGGCTTCAACCGAATCTTGTTCGCAGTATTGTCACGTATCCTTAAGAACAGGAATAGTGCTCGGCCCGGATATCAGTTTGATATGCAAAGATGATGTCAAGCCACTGGTCATTTCCTCACGGCTTCTCGGATTGTACTGCGCATATCAACGTTCTGACCGTGAGGTACCAGGATATTGCACAACTTAAAGGACAGCCCTTTCCCACTTGTTGCAACTCTGCCGAGGGGAATGAAGCCTGGTCCGGAGCTTCATCAAGGCAACCCAAGATATGGCTTCGGGCCACACGTCATTCCTCACGGCAATGTCACATATATATAACATCTTCGACAAAGCGCCACACACACCGAAGATCTTCGAAAGTCTTGTCTTGAGCACTACATGATGCAACTTAGGCAAGGGGAATGAAGCCTGGTCCGAAGCAACTGATCTCAGGATGTTAGCTTCGTGCCATGCGTCAATCCCCACGACAAAGTCCCATCCAATCTCCAAGCCGACCTGCAGCAGACGAATATCATAACACAGGAGGCATTCGACAGGCAATCTGCCTCAGGGATTAGAAGCTGGCCTGAACCTCGGTCACTGAAAGAGCACAGCATTTACCACAAAAAATCAAGGTTAATGCTCCATCGTATGGATCCAATTGAATAGAATCCATCGGACATCTGCTCACACCAAATCTCGTGTTATCAGCAACTTCATGAAGTCAAGTTCACCAGGAGGAACGAATCTTGTTCTTTAGCTGCTGCAGGGCTCTGGTCCTCATATCATTCATTAGGTGGAATTTCATATGGCTTACACGGGCAAACATTGTCATCATCCCGCGTGGTTCATATTCTTCAAACCTTGTGAGAAAACTTATGAGCTGCTAATGATGAGCAGTACCACTAGTTATCTTAGTGTCAGCATGACGTGTAGAGCAGTTCAGTACTTGTCTGTTCCACGCCGAAACAATCCAGATGCCCCTGCGTGAGATTAAAGGCACCAGAAACAGACCCTAACAGTGCTCACCTGCAGGACTTGGAGATTACATCAAGCTCAAAGAGGATCCTTTCTACCTGCAGGAACTTACCATAGATGTCAGTCAGAGCTATCTTACCTCTGCGGCAGAGACAACGTCGAGGGATTCGCCGGTCGATACAAACTAAGAGAAATCGAATGCGGCATTATTCTGTCTCACCTCAAGTTCTTATCATCATCAGTTACCCCCTTGCCCGACAGTATTGACGCTGCAAGAAAGCGGGCACAAGCATTCAGTCTCAGGGTACCAGGATTGGCACCAGGCATCTGGTAGTCGATCGCACCTTCTCGCCTGCAATAGCGCCTCAACCTCGGCATCCTGCTCAACTCCAATGCTTATGGCATCGAATTGCGATTTCCTAAAACTGGTGATCACCCTAGAAATGATCCCAGCCGATGCATGCACCAGTCGCTACAACCAGGGTTTCGTCACACCGACGACCACGTCATAGACACTATCAATGCAAAAATCCTTCCCTCAGCACATGATAGACGAGGCAAGACTGCAACTGAAAGAAAGAAGCGGCCCATTCCACCACCATGCTACTGCAGCTACATTAGCGATCAATATCGCTACACAACTCAACCCCCCACAGTTCGCATCGCTTCCCGTCGCCGACACCCCTACCGAGACCAACAGGCCAAAGTCCTCACTCTCTCAATGATGCACCCATCGAAGACTTCATCAACCAAGGAATCGCAGCTCCCTCGGAAAGGTAAGGTAAAAAAGTTGCCACATTAGTGACGGTCCTGTAGACAAGAACTCGAGATACGTGGACGCGGACTGCGAGAGGCAGTTTGGGCAGTGTAGTTGGCATCTACGAGTGAAGAAGTAGAGATGGAGTGGGGAACTGCCAGAGTAGGGCAAGCAACTGCGAAGGTGCGACTATATAGCAGCAAACACCTAGCGACCTCTCCTAGATCATGACTCCCCTCTTTGCTTCATTCATCAACCTTGACCTGGAATAGCAACTTTTCTATAATTAGGTGGATTTTCGGTAACGGAATTTGAGCTTTAGTAACAAACTCCACTGGGATTTCACCATTCGATCATCACAGTTGTGACATGTACAAGGAGAGGAATGTGGTTTTGTTGGCAATTATCCACTACTACTAGCAAGTTGGCTTCAATCCTGCAATGAACCATGAGAGAAAGGAGATGAGTTGAACACTCTATGATGACAACTAGGTAAACAGGCTTTTTCAACTTCATTGTGGTGATCATTCATACTCTTGTCTTGATCTCACCAATAGCAATGAACTACAAGAAATTTCCATTTTGTTATGTTGATTTTGATTCCTGATGAATGCTTGGGGTTGACATGGGTTAATGCTTTCCTGTGGTAGCTACAAGGGTTGTTGCTAGGGGGCAACCTCATATTCCATAAACCAGCCTCAGTGGCAAAACCAAGCTATCAAATTAGAGTGGGTCACATGACTCATCAAAAGAAGTGGCCAATTCTGTAATCATTCTAGTGCCAAGCCAGCCTTGATTTCTGCTCTTTGGCTAGGTTGTTCATTGAGTATAAGGATAATTAATTGTGAATCCAGGCTCATGCAAACTTCCAAGCCCTGAATCTCTGGCACCATTTATGTAATCCCATGAATATTTTCTCCCTCTGTGACGCGACCCCATTCAGATTTCCCATATCACTAAGTATTTACCCCCATGTTTAAGTCCAGCATGAATAGCATTGTAGTGATGTAATCAAGCTTACACATGGCCAGATTCCCACACAGGATCTTTTTTTTAATGATCCATGTTTATGTGTACCAATTGTTGCTATTTTATGTTCAAAAAGGCTGCACCTCTAATGGTCCATCACATTTGTAATCATCAGAGCAAATCCCTCCCATCAATACACTACAACTTAGGGCTGCTACTATGATGAGAACTGTTGACCTTCCATTTTTCTAGTCAATTTCCATTGACTTTGCATCTGTCCTCAGAAGGCTTGTCTTCAACACAATATTCAAAACTCTCTCTCTTCCCTCAACACCAAGTGAAAGCCCCATTTGCTCATCTCTCCCCCATGGACATTGTGCAACTCCAGCTCACTCATTAAATGCTTTCTACATGTTCTGTAAAAACACCCAACACATGCTCAGAATCATGTCTAAAATACTATGATGTTGGAGATCTTTATTGTTTTCCCGATTACCAATACCAGGTATGAGCTGCCATGGCGAGCTTGCCTGTACAGGTTCAAAGCCAGGGCACACCTGTCAAGGCAGAGCTTTTGGTCCTTTGGCTATGTGGGATCACACAAGAGCTATGTGTACAATATTCCAGCACTGCCACAAATCTGTACATTTAGAAACTCTATGATTCTACTGCTTTAGAATGATCCTCAGCAGGGATAGCTCAAAGCTTTCCCTATCCTTGCAATTTTGAAATTGAGTTTCTGAATTCTGCTTAGCTGCCTTGTCTTGATATCAGCAACCCAGGAACTTAATAAAAATTGGCTTTCAGTGTGTGATTGGCACAGTCTCTTACCAGCTATGCACACTTTCCCTAAATCCACCTGAACTATTTCATAAAATCCACAACCCTGCTGATGCAATAGCAGACACATCAAATTGTTCCCCAGAGGAGAGCCATGGCATCTTTTCAACTTCATCTACTTGTTTTAAAACTGTTATTAACATTTGTATGTCTATTTGGTATTTGCATCCAAATTCCAAAAAAGCCTGTAACACCAACTCAATAAACCATCTTGGATATGGCTTGTCAAAAAAACCACAACAGATTCCTTTTCCTCTGGCTAATATCAGACACTTGTATAGATAGGGATCATACTTTATTGTGTCCCTGTGCCAGTTGTTGTAAAGCTCCACATTCACACAAGTTAATACAAGCAAGTGCCATCATTGTAGCCCATTATTTAAACTCACAATTTTAACACCTAGAAAAACAATATTATCACCACCAACACCTTCTTGCTGTAGAGGACAGAATGTGATAAGGCATGCCGGGTGCAATGTCCAAAGTTGGCTGGAGGTGAGGGGGGTAGCACAAAAATGTTGGCATGATGGGGGGCCAGCAATGAACTCCACCTCTTGGCTATGACTAATCACACATCTTCCATGACCTGTGCTTCCCAACCAGCTCACCACCACCACCTTATGTCTGCCTCTGTTTGGCTGTGGGTGAGTGTTTTTTTGTTTTTTGTTTAGTTTTGTTTTTAATTATTTTTCCTCCTCTTCTTCTTATTCTTATTGTTCTATCCCCCCCCCTCCCCCCCCCCTCCCCCCCACTTCAAATGCCACTAGAGCCTTCCTCACAAAGCAACAATGCAAGCATGGACACTCCTTGCTTCCCAACCATCTCCTCCCTTCAACCTCCCTCTCAAAACCCTAAAACCACACTGCTGTTGCTGAAGGTCCTATACCTTCTGATTCTCAATGGTGGGTGTCATTGTTGATTGATGAGACTGAGAATGTATTCTTGGAGGGTAGACATCTTGCTTTTCCCCCCTTTATCAATAAAGTAATACACTCTACAAAACTGCTACATCAAAGGGCCCAAGAGGTGGTTACATTGATTACAAAAAATTATTTCCTCCTTTGTGTGGCCTTTTTATTCATGCACACAAACAATTGTGTGTGGAACCATTTGTGAGTTGAAAACCATGTAGGAGAGATTGGTGCTTTTAAATTTTTGAAACCACATTTAGAAGTGGATACCTCTTCAGTAAGGAAAAATGACTTTCTTGTACAATCAAAAATTGAAGAAGTAAACGAGGTATATAAAGAAGCTCTATTATTGACCAACAATTTTCCATCACTTTATCAATCAAATCATTAGCTCTGTTTTGTTTTGTTTTGTTTTTTGTTTTTTTTTTTCAATCTCATCACAGGTGTATTTTAATCTTGCAGTAAAAAATTTGAATAAAAGGTTATCTGTCATTTATAAGTCGTTTTGTAGGTAGCAGTCCATTCACCAAAAGGATAACATTGGTTTAATAGTTCATCAATAAAAGTTGTTGTTGTGATGGGTTAGATTTGATTTTAACTTTGGTGGTAGATCTTATTGTATGGATGATGTACATTAATTAGTATCATTGTGACATTCTGTTTTTGGCTGCGAACATATTAATGAAGCTGTGAAAAATATGCTAATGTTGTTCAAATAGGCTTCTAATGGAGAAATGGGTTGTAAATAGCATTTTGATATAGATGATTATATACTGAACAGTCAATATGTGCTCCAAGGACAAGGCCAACAAGTCATGTGTTGTCCATTCCTTTTATAATAAAGTGAGCAATGTTGATTAATAGTTTATAAGAATAATTGTGATGCATCAAAAGATAAAGAAAAAAACATGTTATTCTTTACTGCTTGGAATGACAATAATAATTGTCCCATAGTTATTTTGCTAATTTTTTCAATGACATTAGTTTTCCAACACCGAATGGATTTATTCTTTTTACTCTTATTGGATACTTCTTTATAATATATATTTTTTCTTGATAATTAATTTTAAACGATTTATACCATTTGCAGAAATAGATATGAAGCATTTGAGTTTTTTTTTGTTTTTAAAAAATCATGTTTGTACATAAAATACATGTTTCCATGCTTCAGTTACATGCTCATGTTTTCTGAAGTTATACACATTGTAATTTTATATGATCTAATGATTTTTGTTCATTTTATTATTTTAATTTAATCTCCTTAGATTATTACCTTGTAAAGACAACGCCTTTTTGTAATAAAGTTTGAAATAATGTACTATGAAGTTTTGAAAATATGTAACAGAATATCACTGTACTGGAAAATATAATACAAAATCTTAATTACTCAAAGCACCTTCCATTTTTAGTTTATTACCATGAAATTAAAAGATATCTGAAACTTTGTAGGTGTGAAAACTAATATAGAACAAGAATGATTTTAAGTTGACCAGAAAAAAACCCTTTGGTTATCATCAACTGTTGAGAGATAAGAGCATTTTTATTTTTATTTTTTGTGAATTATATAGAGAAAAAGACAATACAAACCTTGTCACAGATTTTTGCCACCTAAAAATTGGTCATTTCAATTCATGTTTTAGATTACTGTCCAAAGTTTGATTAATGAATCAATAATTGAAGCACTTGGCCAACTTCACAACAATGTCAGAAACAAATAAAAATGGCCAAAGTTTGTACAGAGTGGAGGGATACTAGTTGATTAACAGAGAAAAATGTACCCCTGGCAACTAATTGGTGCAATTGAGGTACTTTCAAATAAATAAATAAATTTCAGCATTTAGAGGCAACTTTCTAATTGATAAGTCTAGTATTTGAGTTTAGCGCTTGAGTGTGGAGAATGTCCAAAAGCTTTGCGGTTGATGGCCACAAAGTATGCATGCCAATGTTTTGAAGTAAATGATCAAAACTCTGAAGTAGTGGACATGACTTTGTAGTTGAGGAATATTGTACTCCAAGACTTGAACCGGTTCTCAACAAAGATTTGGTGTCATTTTAATGATGGAAAGGATCAATAGTACCCAACATGCACAATTCAAAAACATTCACTCCAGTATGAGCTTTATTATTACTATTATTATCCATCTATATTAAAACCATCAAGTTGAAGTATGAAATACATGATTAGTTATGACCCTGACATAAAGTAATCCCAAGCCATAATTTTCATAAATGGATTCCTTCCAGAGGATTCTCAAGGATGTTTGAAGCCTGCATGTGGAAGCACAAACATTTTGTAGAAGCACTTGACTTCTGAGTAATAATAGGCTAGAAATGAAATTCATCTTTTGAACATCAACTATCTGATTCAAATAAAGCGCAAGAGGGTTGAGTTGTAGCACATTGTGTCTGAGTAGGATTTTTTTCTATTTTACATTTTCTTTATTTG